TCGCGATGCCACCAAAAATGAACCATTTGTGGAAGACCCTTCAAAAAACAGAATGTCAGACAAAAGAACGCAGCAAGTAACACGACCCCGCAAAGGTGGCAAAGGAACGGCTCCAAGCGAGATCGTGGTGCAAGGCTTACGGCTGAACCTGACAACAAACAAACGTATCGACCGGTGCAGCCGAGAGAATTCGTCGAGTTTTCTAGGGACGATTTAACGCTAGAAAACCTCAAGATTGCTTGCGCGGAACACTTTGGCTATCCGGTAAACTCGTGCGATGTACTGGTCTCAAACAAGGGGCCGTCATGTACCAACATAAACCAAATACCTCACCGCAAAGACAAGGTAAGCAAACTGTTAGTCGTTTACTGAGAGAACTGCCAAATGCATCAAATAGATTTGATTCGGCCAGAAACTCATATGGGGTTGAAATGTGTCGCTCGCCTTCAATACTCGTGAATATTCACTTTTACCAGGAGCCGATTATGGCTCCTGCTTTTACCATATTTGTAATTATGAAATAACTAAGATAGTACGCGCGCTCTGATTGGCCGAGAGGAGTGTTTGCATGAGAGTATGTAAACATGGTTGTGGCGTCAAGTTGTTTGGCTTTTCGCGCGCTAATCACGCAAGCACAAATTTGAAAAAGTTTTCGAGTTCAAAACTCAAAAAGTTTACTTTATTTACCCATTTCTTCGTCGGCTGAAACTTGGAAAATCGTTACAAAGAAGGTGTGTACATTTTTCTTCGCTTAAGCTGATCGTTTTAAGCGATAAAAATCCGTATTTTGCAAAGCATCTTTTTGCAAAACAAGAACTGATTACGCGTGCAAGACTTCGTGGACAAGAGTTTGCGACTGGTAAGAATTTCTCTTTTAATCAGTGCCATACAAAGAGTTTTGCGTTTTTTTCTCGGGAAAGTTATTTTATAAAAGCAATAGAAAACTTTTTTCCCGTGTTTGCATAGCCTGATATAAACACGAGAGGGGTTGGGAGAATTCGANTTGTATTTATTTTTTACTGTACTTTGTAGAGCTCCGAGTTTACACTGGAGTATTTTAAACAATGAATTACATTTGTCGGGTTCTCGACTATATGGCATGGTTTTGGTTTATGGAATGGCTGATTCTTGTTTATATAATAAACAGAATAATACATGGACGCTTGGAGATATGGAATTTATCTTCTCGTGTTCACATTCGATATCTCACTCGTTCGCTGCGCTCAGTCGTTCGATATCGATGTGTACACTCGAAGATAAATTCCATATCTCCGCGCGACCATGTATTATTCTCTATTTACCAGGAGCCGATTATGGCTCCTGCTTTTACCATATTTGTAAACCTTAGTGATATCCATTTTCAACAAAATGGCTGCCGCGCGATCACCATGTGGTGGTTTTAAGGCCAGAGTTCTGCATTTCAAGGTTAAAAATACACCGTTAAAAGACAAAAAATAGAAAGAAATTGCTCAGTTTTCTTTCTGTGGAGGAAGGAAAGCTTTTCATCACGAAATCGTCCTTCAAAGAATTCAACCTTGTTTTTAGGGTCCTAAAATAGCAGATGTTGTCCTATGTAGGGTAGGCATACTTTTTTTGTATCCAAAATGGGATCTGGGGCTCAGACCCTCAGCAGCACCCCTATACCCAATTATTGCTCAAGTACACTGCCCCCTGAACAAGATGAAAACTCTCCAGTTATTTGAAGACCCAGTATTGTCCATTATGCTCCATGTACCTTTGTTATTGTTTTTGTTTGCTTAGGAGTGAGGCGTCTATTGTTCAGAGACAAGAGACACGTGACTCATTTTCGACAATACCTTTCATTGTGAGCCATTTAACAGCCATTGGAAGGTGGGGCGGAATAAGACAAATTAGTGTTTTGAGCTAAGAAACTCTTTTACAAGATACTGCAGGGGGAGCAGGATGTATTGTTCATGGACAATTTGGTGGGTCTAGGAGTGGGACTTGTACACATTCCTCTTCACCAATATTGATCTCAGACTCTGTTTAGCCCCTTCTGTGATAACAACTATCAACTGCAGTTACCCCTTGATTCATAAAGATACTCCAAATACCACCGCGCTATCAGTTTAGGATCTGAGTTTGAGGGCCACAGTTTCAAATAAAGAATGTAGCCACTTAAAACATTTGTAAACAATAAACGGCCAGTAGAAATGTGTTGTTCATGAAATCCATAAGTTTATCGTGGCCATCTTCAGAGTACGTGTGGTTTGGGCCCTGTAAGAAACCAAATACAACCAAAAAACTTGTAAATTCCATTGAGGACCAGCTTTTTCATTATCAAAGGCCTGTCCAAACGAGAAATGTCTGATGACCACACACTCCTAAAACATGTTTGGTGGCCAAACTGGTCGTGATGTTGAACATGGAAAACGTTGCTACACAAACTGGACAATATAAATGTTTGGCAACAGGTGTTTGTTTGGTTTTGACAGACTTCAAAGTTTTGAATATAAATGTTTGAAAACATTTGAAAAGATTAATGAACTTTTAATAGTTTCAATTTTCAAGATCACATCTTGTTAATATTCATGAAAAAAACAAGTCCGGATAATCGAGGTTCGACTGCAACTAAATGAACTTACGAGATCGCACGGAAATCGTACCAATAGCACTATTAGATAAGCTTATCTTACCAGCGATGTAAATGTGCCAGTCGGCCCTCTGTGCCGCTTCTTTTGTCCAACTTTTCCGCGGCTCTCAAGACCTTCAGGATGAACCTTCGACATCACATCGTACACCAAGCCTCGTGGAACTGCCAACTGGTGGTGCTCTCGTAACTTTCGGTGCATTGATCGGTACCCCAAGGGTTGTCCTGGTCCACTAATTTCTTCTTTAACTGCCATTTCCACGACTTTCAGGTCTGTTTCGTATTCTACGTATTTTATCTCGAAGTAAGCCATCCTACGACTAAAAGTTGGAAGACTCCACGCATATTGCGGATAGTCTCGACCCAGAAAGTCTAGAACTTCTTTGCGAGTCAAATTCTGGAGCACGTATTTCTGTATATCGGCTTTCAGGTTCTCATCGTTCTCCCAGGTTGGATTCCTTATTCTACTCATTTTGGAAGAGGGACTGTTTTGATCTCTTCATATCTTGTGGGCTCCTCTCAAGATCCGCTGATGGAAAGCATCACGGGCTACCAGAACGTTGGGCCATAAGCTGAGCCGGCTGTATTTATATACAATAATTTATTTAATGCTTCCTTTGTTTTTGTGTTTCGCGCTTACAATGGAAACTTTAATTATCACATACTACAAATATTAGGTACCAATCGAACAACCCTGATGTATCAGGAGCTTCTGATGAATGTATTCTGGTAATGTGTCGAATGCACGCATGCAAAGCATCCTGGTCTATGATAACGACACGCCACGTGGAAAATATCGATGTTTTTTCGACGTTCTCAATTTTTTTCAATGTTGATTTTTAATGATGATTTTCAATGTTGTTTTCAATGTTGGTTTTCGATGTTGATTTTCATTGTTGATTTTTGACATTGTTTTTTACTGTTGATTTTAAATGTTTTTCAAAATGTCCTTTTCCCAATGAAATTTTTCTAAGTTCTTTTTTTATTGCTTAATTATAATTTTACCATGGTTGATATAAACCTATGTTTTTCCTTTTTTTTCTAGATATTTATAAATTTTGTATCACTTTATTACTTTTCTACCTTTTTTCTATTTTTATCGCTTATGTTTTTTTTGTTTCTTTCTATTTTTTATTCTTTCTTCGCAAAATCGTACATATTTTACTATGATAACGTTGGGCCACCATACTCAAGACACTATAGAACTATCGGACTGCAGCACTGAATCCGAAGCAGACGAGAGGAAAGACATGATGGAAGGAGAAAGTGCTGCAGTAAATGGTGCAGACCACTGCGAGCAAGGAGGAAGAGCTGAAAGAAGATGTCACAAAGACAAAAGAAGAGGGGAAACTAATTCGCTGGATTTTGTTTATACTTTCACGTTTAAAACTATCATTTAATTTATCTAATGCTACTTTTTCTATGTTGCTAGATCTTATTTATTTCATTTTTTTGGGTAATACGCCATCCCTTATATATGCTTTTCCCGAAGTAAATCAGTGACCTTGAAAGCATTGCCAATTTAAAGGTTCTCAACAAAACAATACTTTTTGCTGTTTGTCCCAATCCCAAGTGCTCTTGTCTCTACCAGATGAATGATATTAGTTATGAGAGGAATGAGGTTTTGAAACTTTGCTTATGCAGGAACAAATTATATGGGAAAAGGTGTAATGCAGAACTTTCTTTTGAACGAAAGCTTTCATTTGGAAAAAATAAAATGATTCCATATAAGACATATCCCTTTTTAGCACCTTCTGAGTAGATAAAAACATTTTTTAATCCGGAAGAATTCTTAAATCTCATAAGAAACCGGCCTGAACCATCAACAACTGATTAAAGGGACATATGGGATGGACGTATTCTTCAGGAATTTCTAATGGCCCCTAATGACAACACAAAGCCTCTTCTGAAGGACAAAATAAATTTGGCACTTTTACTTTACCTAGATTTTTTCAATCCATTTCAACGAGCGGTTTATTCATGCGGAGCCCTACACATGAGTGTCCTTAACATTCCAAAGAGTCAGCATTTAAAGCACAGTGGTCAATGCTGATTGGCCTAATTCCAGGTCCATCTGAACCTGTGGGTCACATCAATACTTATTTGACCCCAATGGTAGACATCCTGATCATGTTATACAGAGGAATTCAAGTTCAAGTACTTGGGCCTGACATCATCTTCACCCGTTCTCTACTTCTTCCAGTACTTGCAGACATACCAGCCTCAAGGAAGTTGTCACAATACAAGAGTTACAAGGCCTATCTTCCATGTAATAAATGTATGTTTCGGGCAGTTCGAGAAAAGGGCACCAGAGGGGCAAGTGGCAAGATGAGGTTTTTAGACAAGCGAAAAATCACCAGCGCGGACTGACAGTGAGGTACGAAAGGCAATGGGTATGTATAGGAAGTCAACAACAAAAGCAAGTGCACTAGCAATGTCTCAAAAAACAGGAGTAAAGTACAGTGAACTGGCTCGTCTGCCATACTTCAACATGGTTGAAAACTTCTTAATTGATCCTATGCACAGCATCTTGATGGGCCTTGTTTCTGACCTTGGGGAAGAACTTATAACTAATTCCAACAACTTGATGACAGAGGAGGAGAGAGACATCTTGGCAAACAGATTGAATGCCGTGAGGGTGCCCTACGATCTTGGAAGGCTACCAAAGACAATGCTAGACAGGATGTCAGCACGAGGGTTGAAAGCGCAACAATGGATGAATTTCATTGTCACCTATACAAGGGGCTTGGTTATGGAATGTAGTACAAAACAGATTTTATGATAATATTCTATCAAATTAACTCCTAAAAAATATGCAAATTACTGTTATTTTCTGCTACACAAAATGAGCTGTTTTATTTGGTTTGATGTAAAACAGGTCTTCCTGCTATCATACAAATTATAATATCAGTGGTATTGTTTTTTTTTTTTTTATGAAGGCCTCTTTGTGTTAAATAAATTACCCAACCAGCAAAAGGCAACAGTATACAGGTAGTACACATTTTTGACGTTAACAAGCTTCTGTCATGAGTACCATCACTTGAATGTAAATGTATTACCAAACATAAGTTTATAACATTTTATTTATGAAGCAAAGCAATAAAGTTTACCTTTAAAAGGTCCGGCCTGCATCCATGGATGATTATGATTTTCAATTACCTTCAGATTAAACGATTTGAACTTGAAAGTTTTAATGAAATACAACAGGATTTTCGTGTTAGATCAGAGGTACACGGTCAAATCTCGTAACAAGCCCCTTTCACGTTTTAGTTAATGCGCGCACGCTAGGAACTACCATACTTCTTCTGCTACACGTTTCATATTTGTCTTCGTTTCAACTTCGTTTCTGATCCCAGTTCGGTTTATGACAGTTGGACGACCGATCTTCCAGTCGTGAATCCAACGTTCCCTTTTGGGCACAAGGTTATGATTCCACAAACGATTTCATAACAGCAGCGAATCGCCTGGTGATGATTCCAGACATTCACGGTTTCATACGATTCCACATATGATTTTGACTTTAACGAAAAAATCATCACTTATGATTTAGCAGAACTTCAGTCATCATCACATATGATTCCGGGACAATTTGATTCGCTTGACAAAATCAGCGGGCAATTCTCCCGATGATTCTCAAGCCTGTAAAAATCATATATGCTAATTCATGTGCTGNTTCTGATCCCAGTTCGGTTTATGACAGTTGGACGACCGATCTTCCAGTCGTGAATCCAACGTTCCCTTTTGGGCACAAGGTTATGATTCCACAAACGATTTCATAACAGCAGCGAATCGCCTGGTGATGATTCCAGACATTCACGGTTTCATACGATTCCACATATGATTTTGACTTTAACGAAAAAATCATCACTTATGATTTAGCAGAACTTCAGTCATCATCACATATGATTCCGGGACAATTTGATTCGCTTGACAAAATCAGCGGGCAATTCTCCCGATGATTCTCAAGCCTGTAAAAATCATATATGCTAATTCATGTGCTGTATAAAACTCGTCTTTTGAATTGCATCGAACGATTCAACAAGACAATTTCCTGTGCTAGAAGTTCAGTGTCAGAGCGTCGAGTGCTGCAACGAAATCTGGCTAAGTTTAAAAAAGGTCGGATTGAAACTTCGACATAGCAAAAGAAATTAAATATTGAATAATCCACAAGAGAAAGGCCATCTCTGGAAAGAGTCAGAGACATTACATTGGGGAAAGACATTGCAGCAGGTGCTGTTTTCGTGCGTGGTAACTTCTGATTCAAAACTGACAACACTCTTGAGAACTTTTCACTGTTACACCGCTGAAGTCGATCTCTTGTTTTGCGACACATATAACCAGCGATGTAACCAATCACATTTCTTTCGACGGTGGTGAGGGATGGCTTGATGGACGTCTCTCCGGCGTATTCTTGTCTGATTTTCAACGCGTCGACCACAGATCTTTGTCGCAACGAAGAGATGTCCTCAAAAATCTGGGTTATCATCATCTGTAAAAGAAGGGTATCCACCGAATCTAATCGTAAAAACCGGCACAGCTCAGTCGACTTCAGTATCAGTTCCTCGTCTTGTCGAAATTGGTTTAGGTGTTGTGCGCCATCTTGATGCCTCTTAGATGAACTAACAAGGTCATCCCGCGAGAGGGCGATCGACCAAACTTTGTCGCAAACGAAGGAAAAAAATGATGTGACTTGCTCTTCCTTCACTAGTTGGTACTTGACTTTTTCTGGAGTTAAATCTGGAGCCTCTAATACCAGCTGTTTCAGCGCCTCAGGAGGATATTTTTAGAAGCAAAGTGACTGAACTGGGTACGCACTTTTCACTGTAAAACTCCTCACATCCGAGGGAAGACAGCACCGTCCTGGTTTTTCCTGATGTTCAGACAACCGGGCTGTTGCCGCACAAAAGGATCACGAGAGATTTTTTTGAACCCTCGCCATAAAGTGGGCTGTAATGCCAGCCAAGACCTGTTTCAATATGAGAAATACAAGGTCAAATTTGGTAAGCCATAAAGAAGAAGGTTTTTTAAGGAGGCCTTGGAAAAAATTATTGAAAACCCTAAAGTGAGATATGGCCAACGTGGAATGCCTGTGGAATCTGAGTCTGAGGAGGAGTCTGAGGCAGAAGAAGAAAGTGAGGAGGAAGAAGAGCCAACTAAGGGAAAACAGCTGATTATATAGGTGATTGAATTGAAGTCATCAAAAGTAATTGTGTCTTCATATGTTTCCTTGCAGCATCTGTGTAACGACTTACCTAGTCCTCGACAGACATTTCCCACCCTTTCGTCGTCCATAAAACGATACCTATTAAATACCAAAGACACAAGGGGGCGCTTTAATCGGGAACCAATCATGCCACAGGATGTCGAGCATCTCATCGACACCTGTGGCATTGAAACCCTTCATCAGCTGCAGAGTAAGTGAGATTTTAATAAACTATATCCTCTGGAGGATATAATTAATAATAATAATAATAATAATAATAATAATAATAATAATAATGATAATAATAATAATAATAATAATAATAATAATAATAATAGTAATAATAATAATAAAGGTCTTTATTAATAATTCATTGCGCAAACAGACGTGCAGCTATTAAAGAGACGTCTATTAATAAAACGTGATTTAAAAAAATTGTCCGGACATTAGGTAGAGTATATAATTATGCGACATAGGTCTCATCTGCCGTGTTCTCTGGGGAGGTAAAAGATCGCTCGACGAATGTCCAAGATACTTTGCTTCTTTAAGCAGTAACCTAACTTATAACACCTGGCAAAGAGGTTATCAATTCTACTAAAATATTTACTATAAAAAGCGCACCCCCAGAACCTCAATAGCATAATATTCACAACACTCATAATGATATGCGAGGTTAAAATAATTCAATAATGGGTTCTTTCATGGCTAGTCTTGCGGTCTCACGTGCGATTACGTAATTACCGATAATAAATTCTGGTTTGGCGCGAGAATAGACCATTCTTGCTCAGTTTTTCAGCGGAGCCGCGAAGAGCTGGTCTCTTTTCTTTTGGAAGATACGACCCACGCGATTTTCTTGACGATTTCCTGATGGCTGAGGGTCAACCTCCGGAGCCGAACGTTCAGTTACTTGTCGATCCTGTAGAGCCAGTCGTGAATCCACCGGTCGTGAACCCGCTAGTGGTGAATCCGCCGGTTGTGAATCCACCGGATGGCAACCAGAATGTTAATGTCGCTCAGCCTCAGGAACTGGAGGTAGTTCTCTTTTAGTTGTTATGAATTCTTTCGTGGCATATTTCTCTTGTCTGTCGTATCTTTCAGGTTCTTCACACAGCATGGTGGAGAGAATAACGGAGAGCTTTTGGCCCGATCGCGGCCTGTTATCGAAATCTTTTCGGAAGATTGTCGGGTTATTCCGCGTGGCTAGTTAACGAACTAGCGTTCGGCGTCTGGCTTGTGGCTGGAGGAACGCCGTGGATTCGCTTATTTTGTATTTCTTTCGGCCTTTGTGGTCGTTGGATGGTTACAAAACCGTACGAGCGAGGTGGCCGATTTGTTCGGCGGTGGCTAGTTGACGGATTAGCGGTCGGCGCCTGGCTCTTGGCTAGAGGAACGCCGTGGACTCGCTTGTTTGTATTTTCTTCGGCCTTTGTGGTCGTTGGATGGTTACAAACCGTACAGGCGAGGTGGCCGATTTGTTCGGCGGTGGTTGGTTGACGGACCAGCGTTGGGCGTTTAGCTTTTAGCTAGAGGAACGCTGTGGACTCGCTTATTGTACAAGCGACGTGGCCGTTTTGTTCGGCGGTGACATCTAGCTTTTGGCTAGAGAGACGCCGTGAATTCGCTTATTTGTATTTCCTTCAGCCTTTTTGCGGTCGTGGGATGGTTACGAATGGTGACAGCGAGGTGTCATTTGTGTTTTGTCTTTTCCTTCGGCTGATGTGGCCTTTGGATGTTTGTTATGAGTTATGATAATGGGTCATCGTTAATTGTTGAACGTTGCTAGGTCGTCTTACTTGTATTTTCTCCTTTGGCTGTGCCTGCCGAAGGATGTTTATACATGGTAACGCGAGAAGTTACGTGATGTTTTTGTTTTTTCACGAGGCCTGTAATGAGGTTTTTTATGCATAACACTGAGTGCTTCGCACATTGAGGTGGGCGGTGATTAAGAGTCTCTTTGTTCCTTTGCAGAGATTGCGTGAGGAGGTGAGACAGTTAAAGCAGTCAGTGGAGGCAGTAACCAACGCGTCGCCTGAGAAGCTCGTGGAACAGATCTTGGCTTATGCTTCCCGCCCGTTGACAGAGTTTAACAAGTATGAGGTGCTTGAGATGCTGGAGACTCTGCATAACAAGGCCGCTGACCGTAATCATGACAGGAAGAACTACTATCGGCTCGTTCATCAGTCGGCGAGGGAAAAGGTGGAGTTGTCGAAGGACCACTTCAAGGACCTTGTTATGCGCCTATTAGGAGACAAGGACCACGAGAGGGTCCTGGATATCGTTTCTAAAGTAGAAAAGAAGTCAAATCGCAAGAAGCCTCAAGCGAACGACAACAGGGGTTCTGGTGTGGCACGTCCGTCTCGTCTATTTTCTTTGCGATGTTATTTTTGTCATAGGCGAGGTCATATCAAAGCTGATTGTCCTGATTTGAAGTCCAAGCAGAGGAAAACGGATCCCAAATCAGACAAGTAGCTTGTGTTTAGATCTCGTTAGTTCGCACCGGTGTTATAGGTTGAAGGCCGCCTGGACAAGGCTGTGTGTTGTAATATTGCTTAATTCTTTGCGATAATAAACAAACTTTT